GATGATGTGACGTCATCAGGAGACTAAGTGATATGGCACCAACGGTACGGCCGCGTGAAAACGCTGTTTTTTTGCGGAGCTGGTTAAACATACACATTTTCATAACCCGATTTTTTAAGGACTAGCACATTCAGTGAAGCATTTCCAGCTGGAAAATGGCGTTGTTTTGCATCAGAGCTACACGATTATTGCTGAAATGCGCTACCAGTCTGCCCCCGGCAGAGACATGGGGTCATCCATTCACCCATTCACCAGTGATTTATCCCGGAGAAGTCTAGCCGGAAGGGCTTAGAAACAGTCTGTGTAAGAGAGTACAACACACAAAAACATCATAGGGTGGGGATAAGAAGCGGCGGCCCGAGCGGGTTCGCAGCACCCTGGGACGCGCATTGAAAAGTTAAAATACACATCCTGTAGCCTTATGAGGGGCGTTGCCGGGGTGGATGCGGGGTTGGCTTCCCTAGCGGAGGCGGCGAGAGGTAAATCCCGGGGGGCGTAAATGCAGAGCGTGCCATTTCAGTTCAAGGTAGCGGATTTTCCTGCAAATTGGGGCGATTTCTGGCATGTGTTGCAATTTCTGCCAGTCACGGAGTGGTGGCCCCTGTCTCGGCTGGAATATAGCCTTGGGGATATATAGCGGTAGTCAGGGTATTATTCCCTGCGCAAATTTTCGCCTAACCCAACCGGCATTATGGATCTGCAAGCTACCCAACGGCTAGCAAGATCATGGTAAAGAAGCGGTGAAATTTTTGGCACCTGCCCTCCTCACATTACCTTGTTTTTACATTTCACTCCGTTTAGGTACTGCAGTACGACGGTAAATGGACAATCATTGCCCGGTTATAGCTTACATGTAAACAATGCTCATGATATCCATTTGTTTGCGAATAAAAATACATTTCACAGAAAGGCAGTACATACAAATCTTCAGGCACGTTGACTACGATGAATATGGCGCGTGCACCGAACCTAGAAAACGTGGTTTGGTAGGGTCTGCTTTTTGGAGCAGATCGTAGTACTGATTTGTCGTTAGAAGTTTTTTAATGCAAAATGTACAATATCTCTTGATATAACAAATATGCAGAACAGGGTGATATCCAGTTCATGGGAGAAATATCCGTTCCTAATCATGTCACTAGTATCTATCACCCTTCGCGTAGTATCAGCCAAAAACCATAACATGGGCTACCAAATATTAGTCCATGGCGACGTCACGTCTGCGTAGCCTTCTCTAGTAGCCTTGGTTTTCATCAAAACAGTAGCAGAAGTGAGTTCAAAATTGCCTGTCGATGATCTTTCTCGATTGTTCAGGCTATTTTAACAGCGAGCCACAGTTTTTACAAGACACCAACATTCAGGGGATTAAGCAAAGAGTAATTGTCAGCCGTTACCACGATGTAGGGCATATCTAAGAACTTAGAATACGCAAAAATGCGTGCAAATGCAAACGAATTCAAGCAAACAGGCACCACGCAACACGCTTCACTTCAAACATGCAAGCGAGTTGAAGTAAACAGGCATCACCATTGTGCATCAGTTATGCATGCAAGCGATTTCAAATGAGCAAGCATCGCATATCACGCATCAGGCACCGCTTGCACATTTAAACGACGTTAAGCTAGCACACATCACACATAAAGGCATATATCACGTTTCGTCGGCCATGACGAGCTCTGTAAGCCAAGATTTGGTCGCCGACTTTTTATAAGAATAGATTTACTCATTTTCCAGTCTGGGTGGTCGTTCGTTCTGTACGTGACTTTGAACTCAAGGGGCACAGGGTGCATACTTCCCTCAATTTCTGCCCGAGTGAGTTTTGCCAAAAAATGGTCACCGACAGGAGTATTCCCTGTTTTAATTTTAGCGTCTCGCAGGTGTTCATTATATCTCAAACGAATAGGACGCATGGACTCCCTGACATGGACTATGTTTCTTCCACGTGTTGTACATAGTTTACACTTGATTTCGTAAACCACGTTTGTTGCGTGTAAACCCATTGAAACCCAGACTTGCATAACTGACATA